ATACATATCCTACAGAAATGAAGCCTGTGGACCCCAGGGAGAGAGAGGAAGGGGGAGAGGGAGGAGAGGAACAGGGAGGGAGAGGGAGAGACAGGGAAAGAGACAGGGAAAGACAGACAGGGAGAGAGTCAGGGGGACAGAGACAAGGAGAGAGACAGGGAGAGACAGAGATTGGACTCCCTTGAAGATGTCTTTCACAGTGTCCTTCGTACTCCACGGAGCTGAGGCAGCTCCTGCCATTTGTCTCCCCATAGCCCACACTGGGTCCACACTCCCCCGAGCTGAGCTCCCTCATCACAGGCCAGTGCTTCACCCCTGCAGGTCCGTCTCAGGGACAGGATGCAGAGGGCTGGAGATCGGCTGTTAAGGGCAGACATCTTGCTGGCTGTGTACATATATATGTTCCCCTCCTTCAGTGAAAGAAAAATTCCCAACATAGTTCCTGAGCAGCTCTGGCTTAGACATTAGGAGGGTCCAAGAAAAATGAACCACCTAACTGGAATGAGTGGAATTCAACGTGGCCCTTATCACACCCAGGGTCTGGGCTGTCGCAGGTGGGGAGCTGAGGGTCACGCTGCAGCTGGGGCCATACAGATCTGAGTGGCCTGTGCTGCAACACAGGTGTCGTATGACGTCCAGGCCTGGGCTGCTACTGAGGGCCAGGCCTGGGTCAGTGGCCCTACCACAGCCAGTGTCTGAGTTGATATTCCATGGCTCCTGTTACTACTGAGGGCTCTGTGGATGTCCAGGGTGTGGTCAACCTTTTGAGACCATGTTGGTGTCTGAGGGCCTTCCTGCAGCTGGGGACATACTGATCTGGGTGGCCTATGATGTCACTGGGGCCATGGTGATAGCCCAGCCTGAACTGCCATGGAGGGCCATGCCTGGATCCACTAGACCAACTAGCTCAGCGACCGCCCAGGCCCATATATCCTGGGCCTTCGGTTGTCCCACCATAACCGCTACCCCATCTGTGAACTGCTGGAGGGTGAGAATGTCCTGTGTTCCACAGGACCCGCGTGACTCAGGGCCAGTGAGGGTCCAGAGAGGATGGCGAGCCAGATACCTTGAACCAGACCATGACTCGGTGCCGTGAACGTTTTGTGGGTGGAGCTGACGGGACAAAAGGGTATACTGGTGACACACCATAGCTCCCAAGGCCAGTAGGATGGATGGAGAGGTGTTGCAAAGATGGAGGAACAAGGTGGTTTTTGTTTGTTTTGTTGTTAACTAGTTTGGAGGGAGTTCCTTTTAGGAGGCAATGTAGGGGTAAGGGGCAGATATGAAGGTGAATGGGATTGGGGTGCATAATGTGAAATTCCCAAAGAACCAATAAATAATTATGTTATTTAAAAAAAAAAGAGTGGAATTCAGAGGAACGGGAAGCAGAAGGCAGACTAGCAGGAGGGGCAGGGTCAGCCACATCCACGTCACGGGGCCATCAGGGCTCTCGGGAAGCTGGGTAATTACCCCCGACTCCCCACCCAGCACTTTTTCTTTCTGGTCACCTCCCAGCCACCACCCCATAAATGGACCTGGGAGAAATCACAGCCCGATTAGCAGCTTCCTGCCATTCTCTGGCCTCCATCCCTCCATCAGCCACACACAAACACAGGGTGGTCTGCCGAGCACCCTGAGGCTGACACTGTCCTCCTACGGTTTCCAGGTCACACGGAGCAAGGAAGCTTCACAATGGCTAGGGAAGGGCTGGACTTAGCAGCCAGGGCACTGCCCTTCTGTGGGGGACGCTAGAGGTGACGGAGGAACGGGGAGGCTGGAAATAAAGGAGCATCTCTCTCCGCTGCATGAGGACTCCTGAGCCCACCTAGTTCTCACTGTTCCTGCGGGCACACTGGCTGGGAGGGAACTGTGGGAAGCTGCTTATGTTCACACCTGACCGTGGAGAAGCCAGGACATCTAAGGGGACCGTGGAGAAGCCAGAACATCTAGGGGTTCCAGCCACTGAGGAGGACCTGAGACTTCTGCTCTAGGGCAGAAGCCCTATCCGCCTGTTCCTGTCCTGGTCTCACTCACGACAGTGGAAAGCACACAGCCGAGCTGGTGTGGGGCTTCCCAGGGTCTCTAGCCTACAGGACAGAGAAATGCAGAGCCAGGCGACTCCATCCCTGGAGCTCACAGCTGACACAGATCCACCTGAACCCTCAGCAAAGTGACCCTGTACGCTATTGCCCCGCTGCTAACAGGTATCTTGGCCTCCTTTAATAACAACTGGACAAGCAGACCCTGCCAGAGATCCGACTGTGTAGTAGACAGGACGTCACTTGTTACACCCATGGTTCTGAGAGGGGCATTGTCATTCCTGCCAAGGTCCTGGGGACTGACACACCGCAGGTCACAGGAGCAGGGATGGAACTAAGCCCAGAGTTTCTTGCCTCCATTGCCTGGTTCACACAGGGTAGGTGTCCAGCCCACTAGTAGCCACTTGCCCCACATTCCCGCCTGGGTCAGGCCCTGCCTAGCCCAGTGTCTCACTAACAGGACCTCAGAGAAGCCGCCATGCTGACCATGAGGCTGTGGCTCCCGGCATGATGCCAGCTCCAGAAAGACAGTGGTGAGAGGGTAACACCAACTTGATGATGCAGGGCAGACACCATGACCAAAACCTGCCCTGCCAATAGCCACCCCAGGATGTCCCCCACCTGCCTAGCCTCAACTCCACACCCCGTCCCACGCTAGCCACAACATAGTCTCCTCACCAGACCAAGGGCTCCCAAGGCAGGTGCTGTCCCTGCCAGCCCCGAGCCCCAACACCAGCAATGAGTAGCTGGATCTCCCGCCTCTGGGGAGGAGACAGGCCCAGGTTCACACCTGCTCCGGCCCCTCAAGGATGGGAACCAGACTGTGATAAACAAGGAAGGCGAAGAGCATCCGGAGACAGAGATGCTGGATCACAGGCTCGGCCGCGACCATTAAATAAACAAGGCCAGACATGTAACTAGGGGCCCTCCATTGAAAACAAGCCTCAAAACAAACAACTAAGGAAGCCCGGGCTCCGGGTGGAGATCCTGCGGTGGCTCCCAGGCCATGTGACAACCAGAGCCCCCCTGCCACCACTAGCAGCCTCACCAGTGCTGGGTGGCCCTGCTCCCGTACCCACTTCTGCCACAGACTGGGAGTTACAACCACCCGAGCTCTCTGTCCTATGGGATAATCCTTCCGCAGACCGTGAAAATGCGTTGCTCTCAGTGTTAATAAAAAGATGATTGGTCAATAGCTAGGCATGATTTTTGGGGCACAGAGAATGCTGGGAAGAAGATGGGCAGGGTCTAAGGAGTCTCAAGCAGATGCAGACAGAAACAAGAGGAACGTGCTATGTTGAAAGAAAGTACCGCCACATGCCAGAGGATAGATAAGAAGTATGGGAACATTTAAAATGTAAGAGTTAGCCAGCAACAAGCCTGAGCATTTATAACAAGTAACAAGTCTCTGTGTGGTTATTTGGAGCGACTGCCAGGACACAGAAAAGGTCTGCCTACACTTTACAGTTCCGCATGCAGACGACAGCCTGACATCCGGCTCATACAGACAAGCTATACCCACAGCCTTGTTACAGACCCACCCTGCCCACAAAAGCCAGCACCCGTGTCTTGCCTGTACAGCTGGGTCAAGCCTGGCTTGGCCTGCCTCTGCCCACTCTCGCCCTGGGATATTCACTAGACACCGGCTCAAGACTCAGAGGGGACACAGGGCTAGCTACAGGCTGCCCTGCTCCCCTCCCCGACCCCACCATCACCATCCTGCCCACAGCATCCCTATCCATGCACCTGTCCCTGGAAGCCTTCAAGCCCCCTCTCCCTCCCATGCAGCCACACACACCCGATGCTTCCCTATCCTCCCATCCCATTATTAGTGCCTCCCCTGGCAGACCCAGGGAGCCCCCGCCTCACAGCAGAAACCCAGGGGCCCCAGACTTTGATATCTGTGCCCCAATTATAAGCCACAGGAAGAAGGGGACACATCAGACACCTCCAGAGAGGCACAGAGGGAAGGGAGATACTGGTGTTGGGCCAGAACACCCCAACCTGAGGAGTGCTGGACAGCATCCCAGTCTTGTCACCTCCAAGCTGGCCTCCTGTCCTTTTCCCTCTGCTCCTTTCCGGAGAGTGACTCACTTCCCTCCTGGAAAAAAAATCACCAACCGTCCCTTCTCTCTTCCCTACTTCTCACTAGAGTTCACCTCAGGACAAGCAGCTAAGTCTCTAACCGTGAAGCCCACCATGCTTAACCTTTGATGTGAGGAGTGTGGCTCCCAGACACCCCAGTGACTTTAAGGATGATTGTTCTAGAGGAATACCACTCTTGCCTGTTGGCCCATCCCCACGACACCTGCCAGCCACCTCTCCCCATGACACCTGCTGGTCACCTGTCCCCACGACACCTACCAGCTAACTGTCCCCTCGACCCCTGCTAGCCACCTGTTCCCACGACACCTGCCAGCCACCTGTCTCTATAACACCTGCCAGTCACCTGTCCCCACATTCAGCAGCCAGTCACCTATCCCCAACACCCACCTGCCAGCCACCTGTCCCTATAAATACCTGCCAGTCACTGGTCCCCACACCCGCCTGCTAGCCACCTGTCCCATACCTGCAGACCAAGGCCTCTCCAGCAGCCACAATAGCCATGCTCCATGGCTAGGAGCCTATTCCTTTGTCCCTGGCATGGCCAGATGCTCAGGCTTGCCTTCCTCCCTCTGATGCCAGAACCAGGCCAGCTCTACCCCCCACACATACACGATTCTACAGACTATTCTGAGAATCCACTGCCCCTTCCATTTGAATTCTGCTCGAACAGTCTTTGGCAGACAGAACTGTGGTGCTGGAGTCCCTGGGATCTCTAATGCGACTGAGGGCAGGGACCAAGAGGACAAAAGCTATGTATGGGTCAGTACCCAGAGAGTCAAAGCCAGGCAGATGCTCCCTATTAGACATGCCTCTGTTCAGTCTGCCCAGTACCAGCTGAGAGAGATGGGCACTCACCTGAGAGGCACCCCTCCTGGCCAGGCTTCTGGCTCCACCCCGGACAGCACCTGAACACAGTGCGGGCCTCCGTGGCATACACCTGCCTATAGCTCATATAGTAGACAGTCCTGGAACAGAAGAGAAAGGGTGTGTTGATCATTACAGGGCCAGCACTTGGGCTCTCAGAACACCCCAAAGATAGGAAGATAGGTCCTTGCCAATGGGGGCTGAGCAGGCTGAAGTGCCCAGGGAGCTAATGCCCCAGACACCAGAGCCTGGCTCCTTCCTCCCCTCAAGGTCTCTGCCTTCTTCACAGGGTGGTTCCATCCTATTCAGGGAGGAATCTTGTCCCCACCTTGCCTGCCACACAGACTCCTCCCTCACTCGAGTGACTAGTAAGGCACATGGCTGCTGCTCCTGGCTGTCAGCTCTGTCCAGTCTGATACCTTTGTCTGTCACTTCTGATACCGAGTTTGAACACTGACTCCCCCAAATCTATGCCTGCCTATAATGGCAACTGACCAGGGAACAAAGTCTGTGTAAGGTGCCATCAGTTAACATGGGGACACACTGCATAGTACCGTATGACATCAGTTAACATGAGGACACACTGAATCGTGCCGTATGACATCAGTTAACATGGGGACACACTGAATAGTACCGTATGACATCAGTTAACACGGGGACACACTGAATAGTGCCGTATGACATCAGTTAACACGGGGACACACTGAATAGTGCTGTACTGACATCAGTTAACACGGGGGCACACTGAATCATGCCGTACTGAGAATACAGGAAGGAAAGCGTGCAGAGATGGGGCAGTTGGTGACACCCCAAGACAGACACAACAGGGCAGCCAGTGGCACCAGACTGGTGGCTGGGACAGCTGCTCCCTCAGGACTTCACCACTATATAGGAATTCCAGCTTCAAAAGATGGTTTGTCTTTTGCATTTTTATGTCTCATGTGTGGGTACACAGGCATGTGTCTTATATATGTGGAGGCAAGGACAACATTGAGTGTCTTCCTCAATCTTATTTTTTCTACCTTATTTCTTTGAAGCAGGCTCTCACTGAATTGTGGTACTCACCAACTGCGATGCTATGCCTACCATTTTTTTTTTTAGATGGATTCTGGGGATCTGAACTCAAGTTTCTATCCAACTGTGCCATCTCCCCGGACTCCTCCAAAGCCATTTTTAAGCCACCTGACCTGCCAGCATTTGTCACAGCAGTGCTAAGAAATGAGCACAAAACGCACAGCTTGGTCGGTGCCCCTGAGCCCTCTGACTGTAAAGTCTCTGTAGCCGCAGACCAGGAACAAGACAGAGAGAAACCAGAGACAGAGATGGGGGAGGAAAGACAGGTAAAGAGGAGATGGTTGACTCCAGCCTCCCGACTGGTCTCCAGCCTGCAGTGCCAACTGCCCTTAAGGCGGTAGGGTTACCCTCCTGCCCAGAAGCGAGGCCCACGGTCACAAGGTCAAGGGCACTTAAGGCCCTGGGAATGGTCAGGTGGCCCAGGCTGTATCTCTAGGCAACAAACCAGACTGTGTTTTCTGGTCCAGTACACGGGAAGCCATGTGGCCCTGGGCTCTGCCCAATAAACAAGGTTGAGGCCACTTCCCGGAAGTGTGTGTTCCTACACAGGCTCGGCACACAGAAAGTCTCGGAGCACTTTACAAAATACCCCCTTGGCAGGACATGAAACCGACCACAGCATGAACAATATTTGGCAGCGACAGAGCACTAGAGTCTGGCCATCGTAAATATTTATCCCCTTGCCTGGGCTGCAGACAGGGCTGGGCTATGTGCAGCTCCCCCTGGACACAATTTCTGGAGAGGCCAGGCAGCCATGAGAACCAAACTCAGCTCACCTTCAGATAACAAACACTAGCTCACAAGGGCTCTAGTCCTGTAGGGCTGGGGGCTTCTGGGAACAGGTCGGAATGGAGGCTGTTGGGACCAGGTCGGAATGGAGGCCATAGTACTCAAGCTGGGCTTTCCAAGAGGGCCTATGACCCCATGATTTGAATACCTGCCACCTTCCATTTCTTACCCCTTCCTTTCTTTTTCTAAAGGACTCCTCCCTCGCCCCTCAAAGGACCTCTGGAGAGTTCCTAGCCTGGCGACCTGGCTGTCTGTCTGGTCTCACAGGGAGATGCTCTCAGGTGTCACGACAGCCTCACCTGTCTTTGATGAGGTGACACACCGCCACCAAAAGCCCATGACTCTAAGACAAAAGATGGTGCCAGGAGCCACCAGGTGACAGCCACATGTGGGGCACGGCCTAAGCAATCACTATAGCCTCACCCAGGCCAATCCAGAAGGGAAAACTGAGACCAGAACAAGTTCTCGGCCTAGCCACGCACACAGATGAAGGCTAGGACCCGGAGTCCAAACTGGGATGCTCTGCCTGGGCTGGCCACACAGGAGCTCAGGAGGAGAGGTTCCCCCCCCCCCCCCGCAACCACCATCCCACAAAAACTAAAACAAAAAAATCACTAGGGGTCAGGGAAATGGCTCAGTGAAGTAAGAAAACATAAGCTTGAACCCCCAACATCCATGTAGACAGCTGGGCATGGCTACCATACACATATCCCCAGCACTAGGAGCTTGCTGGTCATCCAGCCTGGCCAAAATGGTGCTTTTCCAGCTCGATAAGAGAACCCACCTCAAGACAGTAAGGAAGAGCGGGAGAGATGGTGACATCTCTGACCTCCGTGTGCACACACGTGGTCACACCCCGTCGTACGCATCTTGCACACTCACATGCATGAACCACACACACATATAACATCAGAAAGAGGAAGACAGAACAGAGAAGCCTCCACATCAGCATGGCCACACCGTGGTCAATGCCCGACATTACAGTGTGAAGTCCTTCAGGGCTTAGACAGCACTGGAGCCCACTGTTGACTGCACAGGGGGCCTCGGCACGTGACTGAGTTACAGGCTTAGCTGGCTGGAAGGCCAGCAAGGCTGACAATAGGGCCTACTAGCCGAGCCCAGTCCCAGAGACCACTGTGCGCTATCCCCACATCCCATTCCGACCTCATTTCCATATTAAACACCTGTTCCACCGAGGCCAACCTCAGACTACAATCCAGTGTGGGTTCTGCTCATGAGCCAGGAAGAAGGACAGGCCTGAGGGTTCCGGGTAGAGATGAGGACCCAGTCACAGTTAGTGGAAAAGAAGCAACATCTCACAGGGTCAGGCACACTGGATAAGGGGGTGGATAGTCCTGGGGCTGGATTCTTAAGAGGTATGGGCTGGGGCCAGCACAGCAGGGCAGCTACTGGAAGATCAGCTGTCCTGATGAGGATGGGAGAATCTCCCAGGGCTTGGGAGAGACAGCAAAAAGACTTCAGGACCTCAAGCATGCCTGTGTTTACTGTATACTGAGAGCTGAGGTGGGCCTGGCTGGAATGGGTACTACTGAGTTCTGATCCCCATGAGCTGGTGGGACCCCCTCATCCTCTGTAGGCATTGAGGCACACAACTCAGGTATACCTCAGAGCAGGATGGGTGAGGGAAACAGGCCTATGTCCAACACAGAGAATGGCCTCAACTATAGTAAACAGCTGCTCATCCACAGAGCCCTGGTCCCCACCTAGAACCCAAAACGCCACATGGGACCCCCACCCCAACCTCGGGATTGAATGTCTATGTTACAGGCCAGAGAGTAGGTGAAGGGCACCAGATGCCTTGAGCTGGGCAGTATGATGGGGATCCCAGAACCTAGATAAAGCCCTCTTGAGATATCCAGAAAACCCTGACTCCGACACTATGCCATATACACCATTCCCCCACACCTACCCACCAATGTCCTGTCTCCCCAACACACGTGCACAGCCAGGGAAGTGTGGCCCTCCCAGATATCAGAGGACATCATGCCATGATGCTGGAGGCCATCAGCCACATAGGAAACCCTGTCAACCTATAGACCTTGACTGCCACAGAGTCTCCAGCCTCAGGGCCCCAGTGGCTTCCAAACAGAGTGTCTCTCACACGCTATGGACAGGGAAACAAGCTTAGTGGACCAAGCCCTGCTTCATAAGCATGTATAAGCATGTATAAGCATGTGCACCCATGGCCATGTGAGGGCTGGAAGGAAAAAGCACAAATGTCAACCTCTGAGGCCGGGTCAAGACCTCCCTTTCTGCCTCTGAGTTCCTAAGTCTCCTGACCTGCCACATGTCATTCCATGGGGAGGGGCGCTGCTATGCTTCGCAGACTTGAGCCGCATGCCCCACCCCGTCTAGGTCAGCACCTCACCCCACAGCACCCACCACCTCGGGCATCACCCTGGTTGTCCCGGGTGAGGAGACCAAACACAGTCCCTGAGAAACAAGGCTTCTCGGCTGTACTTTTTCCATCTCTTCTCTACACCAGCCCTAATGGACGACAAACAAATACTGAATTCTGAGTGGCCTCTGGAGCTCCTGGACCAGGCAGAGCAGGCCCAAGTACCCCATGAACTCCAGCTCCCACAAGAGCAGCAACAGGCAACACTAAAGGCTTCCCCCTGCTGAGCACCCTGCCCAGCTAAGGACTCCTCAGACACACACCTCCACCTAGCTAGGGCTGCAGCCAACTCTGCTACGCCCTTACCACCCAACGTTTCCACGGCTCTCTCCCACTGCCCAGCTTCCCCTCGGCCCTGTGGAGGAGAGCTATGCAAAGGCACTCCTTAAGATTTGATTTTTAAATAAAACATTGAGCAATAAGTTTTTCATGGGCTTGGGAACTGGGCCCAGAGGTCAGGTGGCAAACATCTCCAGTTGGGATCTCAGCTGGCTGAGCAGGGCTTCTACCTTCTGGCCAATCAGCACACCTCCCCTGCAAGGTCCCACCACCACCAGGGCTCCTCCCTACCCTCATAAGTGGCCAGGACCTGCCCAAGCAGGCCTTCTAGAGTCTGGGAATAAGAGACCACATCCTCGATGAGAGATGGAATCAAGGTGGGGCTCCAGCCCAAGCTGTTTGACCCTAGAGGTCACTCTGCAGTCCTAGCTGAGAACTGTTCCCCCGTTAGACCAGGATGCTCACTACGTACCTGCGCTCTTGGCCAATGCACCATGCCTGCTGCCCACAGCCTGCTCTCCACACGGGCACGATGCGACTGAAGGCTTGCACACAGGGCTGGCGGTGGCCTACCAGGGTCAGCTTCTGCTCGGCACACACATGGGGCCTGGAAAGAAGGACAATGACATTCAACTTCTCCACTACCAACAGCTGGCTGGCACCAGTCACGCCTCCAGAGCTATACTAAGCATTCAGCTATGGCTGGGCCACAGCACAATGCCCGCCTGGCATCTACTCTGGACTCCAGGACAAGGGGACTGAGGGACTGATGGCCACAGCATCTTCTGCCAGGATCCTGTGTTGTACGAGGCACTGCCCTAGTCCCTAAGAATCTTCAAGGTAGGCAGGGTCATCCATCCCTTGAACAGTCCTGGTCGGGGCTCAGGCTGCTCCCCAAGTCCAGGTCCCCAGAATAATGCTCTTTCCACACCCTCCTTCACCCCTGCTACCTCAGTGTCTCCCCTGAATTCTCAGAATACACAGGGGTATGTGGACAAGACCCAGGAGTAAGGATGGGCTCAAGGAGGAATTAGGAAAGAGAAAACCAAAAACTCTGGCCACTATCCAGCCATACCCAGGGCAGTGATTCTTCTTATGTCTCTGCCCTTCACTTGTCCCAGAAGCCAGAAAGGGGAGCACAGAGTGCCAAAGGTGGGTGACCTAAGACAGCCCTCCAGGCAAACCAAAGGGAGAAAAGGCTCCAGCCCTCAGAGAGAAAATCAACTAGAAGAGCAATCTAGAGACGCTCACCAAGCAGTGAACACAAAGCTCAGGCTCACTCAAGCCTGTACCCCCGAGAGACCAAGGAATGCAAAAGCAAGTCATGAAACAGAAGACAAGACCCACTACATTGGACCAAGCCTGGCAAACAGGTGAGTACCTCACATGGCCAGGCTCTGAGCTCAATCCCGAGCACCAAGGGTTACAGGACACGCACACGGAACAGAGTCACTTTCCAACTTGCTCAGAGCCTGAAATCCTCGGTATACACAGTGAGCAGGGTATTCCTCCCACCCTAGCGGAGGTCCCTGCTAGGGGATATAGATGCTTTCTTAGCTTTGCCCTGACCTCTGCCTCCATCCCATGCCCAATGAGGCACCCCTCCCCAAGTGACTTCCACATTCTCAGTGACTGCTGGGTGCTGTCCAAAGTCCAGCACTTAAGAGACCCTGACCACGCCAACCAGCAGCTCTGGCCCTAGACCAGCCACCCCCAGACGGATGTTCTGACCAAAAAGCCTTTATTTTTGTTTTTTCCCTGGCTCTGCTGCATGGGAAGCCACCCCCTCGGGGAAGTGTACGGACCACCTGCAGTCAAGATGTCCGTAGAAAACAAACATCAGGGGCTCCCAGCCTGGAGCAGGGACTGTACCTGCCCAGCCATGGTATCAGAGGCTCCCAGTCATAGTATCAGGGTCTCCCAGCCATGGCATCAGGGGCTCCCAGCCTAGAGCAGCGTCTGCACCACCCAGCCACAGTATCAAGGGCTCGCAGCCTGGAGCAGGGTCTGCACCTGGCCAGCATGACACCAGACCATCTAAACCCTAGTTTCCCATCAGTCACAACACAGGCAGGGCAGAGTCAGCACTGCAGCCATCAGCAATCCTAGGCGCAGGACTGTCACATGTCCTGAGTCCTCCCAGTCCCATGATACCTTCCCCAGTCTCCCAAATGTCCCGTCTAGGGCAGGAGGTAGCCATCTCAAGTCTGGGGTGACTGCAGGGCAAGGACTCTCGGGTGCCAGGCCAAAGCAGTGGGACCTGGAGTATGCTGTGGACCCCACGTGTGCGCTATTAACTGTGAACACATTCTCTGTGGCCAGGTAGAATCCCAGACAGGACGAAGCAGAAGGGTCAGATGGGAAAGGTTTCTGCCACCTCACAGAGACAATCCCTAGGGAGACAGACGACCACGGTGACCACAACGACAATGATGACAGCAACAAGCACAAACACCACGACCACAACCACCCTCCTCCTCCCCCATGCTGACACCAGGCACCTTCAAGGCATCAGCCCATGGGGACTGCTGGCCGCTTTCATCACCTGACAGGAGGTGACAGTGATTTCCCCTGAATCATCTGCCAACCAGACATGGTACCTGGACCAAAGACCCCCTCCTCTTCCTGGGCTCTGCTGAGATTCTGTGCTGCTCGGATGGCTAGCTAAGGAATGGGGGACCCAGACTTCCGAGAGCCTGTTGTGGGCTGAGGATCCCAAGCTGGGACACAGGGAGAGACCAGGGCAAGGGTTTGCACAAGGCCAGCAGTTTCCACACAGGGAAAGCCCTCAGCATTCCATGGCCTGGGTCCTGGCCTTTTGATCCTTGTGGCTTCCACTTTGTGGTGTGCCCACTGGATAGTGCCCTCTACGGAACCCCTGATCATATGCCCCCCCCCCCTCTCTCTCTCTCTCACACACACACACACACACACACACACACACACACCTGCCCTCTGGCTAGTGGTAAGTGCAGCTGATTGGAGGACCAACAGGAGGTGGTGCCTGGGAGAGGGGACACTGGGTGTCTGTTTCCCTAACCACTTAGAACCCTTCCTGCCAGGTGGTAGCTGCTCCAGTGTGGTCACACAGTCGCATTCCCTGACTGCATGCTCACTCTGTTCGCCTTCTGAACCCTGCCCCTGCGCTCTGTGCCTCTCGAAGGCCCGAGAGAGCAGCAGAGCAGGCATAAGGACACCCATGACAGGTAGAGAATGCCACCATCCCCCACCATGTGAGGATGGTCTGCAGGAAGCCACATGGACAAGAGACCAGTCCAGAGGCTTCGAAGTTCTTACAGGGACCCCCCAAGGTGGTTAACTGACATTAACAGGGACACGGGGAGGCACAAGCTGGGCTCAGCACCTCTCCTAGGAAGTGCAGGCAAAGGGACATGGTGGAGGATGGGGGATACTAGATATTAGAGGAAGGGAAGGAAGAGACAAAAAGACAGCCTTAGCTCAGGCCCCAGAAGAACCCAGCAAACACTGAGCTGAAGGTGTCTTTCTGTTTCTTGTATTTGCATGTAGCTTCTCACCGAGGCGGGAAAGGCAAAGCCCAAACCACAAGGTAGACCCAGGGCCAGCAGAGGGAGGGGACTTCAGCCCAGCTGCAGAGCCATCTGTTGAAGCGTGGAATGTTGCTCCGGGAAGTCTTTGAAGGAGCTAGAGGCCAGGGGTGTTCATGGCAATGGCACCTTTTACCAAGGTGTGGAAGTGGGAGGCACACCGTCTCTATAACCAGCCTGACCCTGTTTCAGGAGGATGATTTGTCTCTGCCTCCCTCATCTGGCCTCATGGCTCACCTCTGAGCATACTTCCCCTGGCCTGGGTACAGCTGGCACACCGGCAAGTGTGAGGCTTTAGGGGCCTAGCAACACTGTGAGAAGGCAGATGAAGTCCCTCAGAGGCCTCCCACCAGGCACAAGATGGTCACAGGAGGTTCAGCAGACATGCATTCCTTCCCCTGCTCTGCCCCCTCCCCCGACCACGGCACAACACCTCCTGTCTTCTGGGACATCTGGCCATTCACCATGTCAGCTTCCCCACACCCTGAAGAGGGGCATTAGGGGCTACACAACAGATGGAGAATGTGGCTGTTTAAACCCTCAGGGCCGGGAGGCCCAAAGAGCTTGCAAGACGGAACTTGAGCTCGGAGGGACCTGCCTGGGGTAGGAGGGGTCATGGTCAGTCATTAGCTGATTCCAAAGCCCTGGTGGGTTTCTTAGCATAGCTGCCCAGGGGGCTTCTGCCTGGGAGAAGCCTGTGCTGTGAAGCTGTGTATGGACACTGTGGCATGGTCTCAGCCGGGACTCAGAGCTTCAGCACCCAGGCAGCCTCTCTCTCTATCCTCACCGGGGCTGCAGGAAGACCTTACGCAGCCATCCACACCAGCCTTGCACTGCTCGGCAGTCACTCCCATCTCCAGATGAAACAGCCAAGCCAAGCTTCCACGAAGCTGAAAAGTCACTCGAGGCAAAAAACCAATCAGGTAGCCAGGCTCTACCCACTGAATCTGAGCACCCCCCCCCCAGGCAACAGCAGCCAGAGAATCACCCACATTTTCTGCAGATTCACGAGAGCACCTGGGATGGGAGTCGGAGCTGCCCTACCCTGGAACCCACCAAGGCCATGGCTTGCACACCAGGTGTAGGGGGCAATGGGCAGGGGGACAGCGCACCATGAAAACTGCAGCTATCAGTTCATGAACACTGGCCAAAGAGGTGTGGCAGCCGTACCAGGCCCTGCCAGCTCATCAGAATGCCTCAGAGGGGGGAAAGGCAAGCAGGGTGGAGAGGGTCAGCCAGGAAGAAGTGTTTTCTAGGGCCCTGGCTGCCTTCCCAGCCCCTCTATCCTGCTGCTCTGAGTGTCGGGGAGTTAAGAGTAGACCTGCAATGTCACCCCTGGAAGCAGGTCCTCACGGGCTTCCTTCCACCTGCTGTCTGCTCAGCAAATCCAACACTCCTTCTCCAAAGTCCAGAAGGCTATCTCTCCCTCACTGGCCCCGCCAGCTAGGACCCATGTGCCGACGCCCGAGAGATGCAGTTCTGAGGAAGACAGCCAGGATTTCTGGCCAACCTGGAACTCAGACCCACCCAAAATGGACAGTCTAAGAACAGAGGCCCATTGGGACACAAGGGTCAGGAAGTGGGGGCACACGCCTCAGAGGTGCAGCCCCCACTGCAGGAAGAAGGGAAGGCAGACTCTGGAAAACACATCAAGCAGGAAGAGGCAGGCTCTCCCGCTACCCTTTCAGACTTTCTCAACAGCTGAAGACTTCCTGGGCCCAGGTGAGCAGGATACCAGCAGCAAGGCCTTGGCTCCACTCCCAGGGAGATCATCAGGAGTGGACAGAGCTGGGAGGAGAACCCATACAGGGCGACCAACTGTTTCCACATGTGCCAGATTGCATCCATCCACCCAGAACTTCAGGAAGCCTGTGTCTGCTGCCCCTCTCAATCATGAAAAGGGGCGGGCAGGCTGGCAACCCTAGCCCATCAAGCTAACTGCGATATAATCGTCCTGGGGTTGAAGCTCCTTCTGGGCAAACGCACAGCTAAGAGACGTGAACCATGCTGCTCCCATACTCGGGTGAGACGTCCCCAACTCAGACCAGCTCTCCTTTGTAATGGCCACAGGATCAAAGGCAAGACCTAGGGTGGGGGGTCCCGAAGGCACCTGCCCCAGTGAGAAACTTGTTCCCCCATTCCCCCCCCCCCCCGAGCCAGCCACGCCTCTGTCCTCAAGGTCAAGTATGAGGTGGATCCTCCAGTGCCAGTCCTGGACAGGAGCAGCAAGTCCCTTCTGTGGCTGAATGGGTGCTCTAATTGGCAGAGAGAAAGCCCCAACTCAGGCTTTTAGGGTCTTTCCACTCCCCATGCAGCCCCAGCAGCTCTGCCAAGTTTACAAGGCCCCATCTTGCACCCTGCAAGGGCCAGGTGGGGGCCGTATACCTCTCATCCCTGTACCTCATCCACTTGGGCTCAGTTCGCACCGGTTTTCCTTTGAGGCCAACAGAGGGATCGCTTTGCAGTTTAAGAGAGACCGCTAACCAGCCTATTGGGGAATCATCTTTCAAAATTAAATCCGTCGCCGCTGGCTCCCTGACCCTCTCTTCCTGCTCATTCTAGAACTAAATTCCTTCTCCCGAGGCCCCAGAGCGCACGTGTTTAACACACAAACCAGTTCTGGCAGCCCCCTCTGGGCACCCCCGCCCCTGCGCAGGCCCCCAGACCCCAGGAGACCAGCTTGGGGAGGAAGTGGGACCAGGCGGCTTCCTCTCGGCCGCCTCCAAGCCGGTCCCCCAGCTGGACTCTGCACCGCAGGGGCTTGGATTCCTCACCTCTCCAAACTTCAGCATCCGCCTAAGTCTGCAGGACCCTCACGGCAGAGGCGGGAGCCGGGAGACTGGGGGTCCTGTGGCAGCCTCGAGGGCCCCATATCCAACCCTGGACCCCACGTCTAGACCGTCTCCTCTTTGGTTAAGGCAAAAGAACCCATTGTTCTGGGGCCCCAGGGACAAAGCCCCGAGCTCTGTTCGGGTCAGCGTCGCTACCGCGAGCCTCGAGACTCGCGCTACTCACATGCTCGGCTGCAGCGGGCGCGGGGGGCGCGGCGGAACGGCTGCAAGCACGGTGGGGAGCAGCAGCATAGCCAGGGCCACCGCGCGCCAAGCCGCTCTCGCCTCCGCCCGGACAGGCATCGTGCGCGCGATCGCGCTCCCACTCGGTCCTCTGCTCGCCGACTCACAGGCGGCCCTTGCGGCCGCGAGACCCAGTCTTCACGCGCGCCATGCCCTGGCGGACAGCGGGACGCCGCAACCGAGCCGCACCAGGTGCGGGGCGCGTGGTCGCCGCAGGTGCGGATGGTTCAGCTGCCACGAGCGCCGAGAACTTCGCGCTCCGCTCGCAGACACTTGCCAGGAGTGCTGGAGAGCGAACTCGGAGCGGGACGCCCCAGCCGTCAGACCCGCCCTCCGCACGCCCCCCGCCCGGACCCCAACCCCCTCCCCGCCCCGGCTCCCGCCCCTTTTCGGCCCCACCCCCAGCCCAGGCCACGCCCGTTCCGCCTTCGGTCCCGCCCACACTGTCCCAATAGAGAAAGACCACTTCCAGCCCCACTCCAGCCCCTCCCCTCCGCGGCTCCTGATCCAGCCCACAAAACTAAGCTTGCTTTTCTGTCTCCATTTGAGCATCCTCTGGGCGTTCTCTGCCCACCTCCGGCAGAGAGTCCCAGGTCTGGTCCCGTCCAGGTGTCCGACCTGAATGTTGCACACCTTGCAAACAGACTTAACCGTGATCTGGGACCCCGGTAAGCGCGTCCGTGACTTCTCTCCACCAACGCTGCATTCACCGTTCCTTGGCCCCTCATTCTGCGCCCGCCCCCGCTGCCCCAGAAGTAGGGAGGAATCAGGGGGGCAGCCTTTGTGTGCCTCTGGGCACCTCCTTTGGGTACTGACATAGGTAACACCACCGTCTGGGCATTTGTATTCCTAGTTCTGTGTGAGTGCTTTGGGTCGGTGGCATGGGGTGGAGTGGGCGTGTAGGTCCCACCAGGAACCTGCACAGAGGTCTAGAAGGCAAAGCCACTCCCTGCTCCGGGCTCTCTGCTGTCCTTTAATTCCGGTTTGGGTTTGATGTGACTTTCTCGAGGGCTAGGGCCAGACTGTCCAGCGCTAGACATGATGTCTCTGGGGCCAGGACTTCCCCGACACCTTTTGAAAGTTGAGCTGGGATTGTCTCAAAAGGGCACAGTAAGGGACCTCACTGGTTGCAGACAGTTGTGTGAGCATCCGCCCCTGCTCGCCTCCTGGAGAGGAGCGCCTGCGTTTACATGATTGGTAGGCCTAGCCTGCCCTCCTTTGAAGACCTCCTTCCTCCACCATTCCCTGAGGCGTGAGGTAGGTGTTCCAATGTCCTCTCCCTAATGGCAAGCGCTTGAGGGAACCTCTGGCCAAGGGACCTGGAAGTGGAGGAGCAAAGCGTCTCACTCGCATTTCAGAAGGCAGCAGTCACATTCATGGGCGTGGGTACTGCCAGTCAGACCTACAGCTGGCCCAAGTGGAGAGCCATGGGGACAACGAAGGGAGCAGAGCCTCTGCTTACAATACTACAACCTGCAGATCTGAGCACTAGCACAGGACCCTGGCCTCAGGGAGGGAGGGGGGAAGCAGCTGAGGGGGGTCCTGGAACTTGCTACCTGATTCCCCAAACAGGACAGGACCCTACTTTGCCCTTCTCTGTTCTGGACCAGATCTCCCTCTTCTGCCTGAGCCCATCACGGGCTCCTCCCTGGATCTCAGTAGTAGAGGCTGACTCAAGCGCTGGGTGACTCTAAAGTACTGGCCTTCCAAGTGTCTGCACCCAAGAAATCATCGATTACCCCACCTCAGTTCGGGGCCTCCACTGCAGGGAAGTCAAGGTTGTCTCCCCAAGTCGGAAACTGCAGTGGGCCCATCTGCTGGTTCCTTCTAAGCACCCCTTTCTCTCCAGGAGCTGACTTTCTCATGAATGCGCACGCGGTCAGTAGAGTGTGCACACGTGGACCCGGACCCTGAAAAGGCTCACCGCCTCCTTTGCTAAACCACGCCCCAGGACCAGGATCTGGGGTGGGTGAGCCAAAGAGGACTCCACCCCACAATCGTCTCTGGTCATCAGAGGGAAGAAGGTGGTCCTGGGTGAGAAAGAGAATCTCTCGGTGGGGTTCTGTCTGGGTGTTTAGTCTCCTGAAACCAATGAGGGGACCTTATTGAAGAAACATAATACTGAAGGAAATAATTTTTGCTGATTTTACAAAAGTACATGGCCTAGTGCATGAATTTCTAGCCCCCCCCAACTTAATTTTCCTGAATCAAAGTTTTATTGGCCTTAGGTTATTCTAACTTTGTCCATGCACCAACTCTCTGCTGTGTGAAGAGTCCTGGCAGGTGTCAGGTGGTCAGGCAGACAGGAAGTGGGGCGCTTCCTTGTGGTTAGGGTAAGACACCTGCGCACCCCCTTCCACGGCAGGTGTGTCCTTGCCCATCTGTCATTTAAGGCAGGAAGAATACACATAGACAGAGTGGGGTCTGTCCACTATTCCCAGAGTCCTTGTTCCCGGTCAGATGTAGGCAGGTGGACCCTGTAGTCTCCAAGCAAAGCCCATCACATGGACTGGTGTTGTCTGGAGTCTGGCTCCCATAACCCTGTGTGAGCATCACTCAGATTTCCAAGCAAAGCATTTAACATGGACTGGTATTAGCTGGAAAGACCAAAAGACCCTTTTCTTGTCTGTTCTGGCTCCTGTGAGCATCTGATTGCCTAAAGAGTGTCTAATTCCCAGTACAACCGCTGAGTAATCAGGACACTAAGAGTTTGTCATTTTAAAAGTAATCAGAACCTAGAGCTATGACTCAGCTGGTACAGTGCTTGCCTATCCTGCATGACTTTCTGGGTCCAGTCCCCAGCACTACACAAACTAGGTGTGGTGGTGCACACTCGCACTGGGGAGGTAGAGGCAGGCAGAGCAGAACAGGCCATCCCCAGCTATACAGCAAGTTCGATGCCATCCGGGGCTACCTGAGACCTTATCTCAAAAAACAAAAACAAAACAAACCCCACAAAACTAGAAATCAGAGTGTGTTGGGAGCAGTGAGACCCCAGATCCTGAATTTCTTGTAATCCCCTGATCTGAGTGCCTACAGCTGCTCTGAGCACGAGACCTTTAGGAGTTCCTGATGGCAGGAGAGTGGTTTCTGGTGGGTTTGGCTGGGGCCTGGCTATCTCTATATAATCTGCCCCTGAACACAATAAAGGGGGCATTCTTGGGGAATTCAAGGATGACCCGTGTTGCTGTCTCTCTGTCTGTGTGTGTCTGTGTATTTTAACTTCCAGCCCCCTTGCCCGAAGCTCGGTAACTGGGTGCCAGCGCACAGAGCGCAGAACTCAGGGTGCACGTGTGTCAACAGACTGCACATGTGTGTTTCATACACTTTTTTTTAATTTTCGAGACAGGGTTTCTCCATAGTTTTTTTGGTTCCGGTCCTGGAACTAGCTCTTGGTAGACCAGGCTGGCCTCGAACTCACAGAGATCCACCTGCCTCTGCCTCCCGAGTGCTGGGATTAAAGGCATGTGCCACCACCGCCCAGCTTGTTTCATACACTTTTATAACTCACAACGAGCAAGTTTTCTTTTACAGCTACTGAATTAAACATAACAAATATTCTCCAAAACTTAACTACCTGGCTGGTTTTTCATGGCATAATTATTTGAAACTGTATCGTGGGCTGGAATGAGTCATAACGCGGTTAACGAAGCAGACTAGTTCCAGGAGTTATGCACTCAGTAGGTCCCTCCGTCCCTCAGAAATGAGCAGAGGAGCGAGGGGAAGGAGCTTGCTCCAAGTTCATTAAGTATGTGCATGGTAATATCCTTATGTAAACCTGTGTATAAAAATAAATAAGCACTTGGCTCAGAAAGACGGCTGCGTGTTCTGTTGTTGAGTCTGCTGTGTGTATTTCTTACATGTGGAGTTCATCCCAGTGTCTGCTGTTAAGGGAATATGGCCAGCTAGCCGGTCCGCTGGCTACCACCGACACCACATTCTCCTAGCTCGACACAAACAGCACCTGCTTCTGAGTATTTCCAGCGACTCCATCCCGGATTGTTGTACCAGCAAGGGCTGGCCATGGAGATGTTTGTGATAGCTCTGGGCGAAGGCTCACACAGCTGCATATGTAGGTCCTTGAAGTTTGTAACTTGGTTTTCCCTGCAAGTAATATCGGTATTCTTTTTCTTAATTTTTTTATTAGACTTATTCATTTATTGGGCAGTGCATGTGTCACAGAGTGTGTGTTGGGATCAGAGGACAATGCGATAGAACTGTTCCTGACCTGTGTCACAGGGGTCAAACTCAGGTTCATCAGATTTTCAACAGTCACCTTTCCTGCTGAGCCATCTTGTCAGCACTATAAGAACTTGGTCGTTCTTTATATAATGGTAATTCTTGGTCATCCTTCCAAATTAGTTTGGAGGTTAATCTGTCCAGTTCCTGTCAAATTGCATTGGAATTTATCTGTAATTGCCTTAAATGTGTTAATTTAAGAATTAGCAGGATTTCCACAGTAACTGGACTATTGACAGTAACTGGACTATTGACAGTAACTGGACTATTGACGCAGCGCCCCCTTGTGGACATTGCACGTATTGAAAGACCACTTGCTGGCTTCAGCAGGCTGGTGGCCCACTCAGGTTTAGCCACATGTCACCTTCCACTTCAGGGTCTGCTCAGTCCGTTCATGGGGTACAGATTGGATTTACCTGTGAGAATCCTTGAACTTCTGGGGGTAGAGAGATAGGTCAATAGTTAAGAGAGCTTAATGCTCTTCCAAAGGACCTGGGTTCGATTCCCAGCACCCACATGGCCACGCACAACTCTCTGTAACTCCAGTTCCAAGGGATCCCATGTCCTCTTCTGAGCCCCTGTGGACACCAGGCACACATGTGGTACACAGATATACATTTAGGCAAAACAGTAAATACACACACACATTTGGTTTTGTTTGAGACGGGGGTTTCTCTGTAGCCCTGGCTATCCCAGAACTCTCTTTGTAGACCAGGCTGGCCTTGAACTATAAGAGATCCACCTGCCTCTGCCTCCTGAATGCTAGGACTAAAGGTGTGTGCCACCACCCCGGCCTACATATATATGTTTAACCAGGAGCTCTCAAGGAATGTGCAGCATTCACACCCAGGCCCGAGCCCACTGCCACAGCAGATGCGTCCTAGGATCTCCGATTTTCCCTTCCTCAGCCCACCCTGTCACCATGCCTCCCACTTAGCAGTGTGGTGACACTCAGGGTTAGACTTTGGAAGTCCTTAGCAGTGTCCGTCCCAGACAGACAGGAGTCGTAGCTGTGGCTTCTTTTATCTACCTAGAAAATAACCTTCTCTTTTTAGTCTAAAATGGGCTTTTAAAAAAAA